TTTGAAAACAAAAAATAAAAATAATTAATGACAATATAATTATGTGTTAATATGTTAATTATAAAAAAATATAAAATTTTAACTACTATACAATTACAAAGATAATTAAGTAAATAATTTTGCCTAGACCGAAATCCGATTCTAACTTCCAAACTGAAAATGCAATTCGAGTCTCGTCTTCTCCCACAATCCTCTCGTGCCTAGGTTGTCGTGTGTGCCAAGTTTCGTGCTAATCCGATGTCGTTTGGTGAATTTGGGGTGTCAACACCTCGAATTCTAAGTTTCTTAAGAAACTAATTTGTCTAGAGTGAAATTCGGCTCTAACTCCCAAATCGGGAATCTGATTCGAGTCCCGTCTTCTCCCACAAGTCTCTCATGCCTCGGCGGTCGTGTGTGCCAAGTTTCGTGCTAATCCGACGTCATTTGGTGATTTTGGGGCGTCAATACCTCAAATTCTAAGTATTTAAAAGGACTAGTTTGCCTAGTGTGAAATTCGGGTCTCACTCCCAAACCGGAAACCCAATTCGAGTCCCGTCTTCTTTCACAAGTCTCTCGTGCCTAGGCGGTCGTGTGTGTCAAGTTCCGTGCTACTCCGATGCCGTTTGGTGATTTTAGGGCGTTAACATCTCGAATTCTAAATTTTTTAAGAAACTAATTTGTTTAAAGTGAAATCCGGCTCTAACTCTCAAATCGGGAATTCGATTCGAGTCCCGTCTTCTCCCACAGGTCTCTTGTGCCTAGGCGGTCATGTGTGCCAAGTTTCATGCTATCCCAATGTCGTTCGGTGATTTTGGGGCGTTAACACCTCGAATTCTAAGTTTCTTAAGAAACTAGTTTGTCTAGATTGAAATCCAGCTCTAACTCCCAAACCGGAAACCCGATTCGAGTCCTATCTTCTCCCATAAGTCTCTCGTGCCTAAACGGTCATGTGTGTCAAGTTTCGTGCTAAACCAACGCTGTTTGGTGATTTTAGGACGTCAACATCTCAAATTCTAAGTTTTTTAAGAAACTAGTTTGTCTAGAGTGAAATCTGACTCTAACTCCCAAACCGGGAATCCGATTCGAGTCCCATCTTCTCCCACACGTCTCTCGTGCCTAGACGGTCGTGTGTGCCAAGTTTCGTGCTGCTCCGACGTCGTTTGGTGATTTTGGGACGTTAACACCTCGAATTCTAAGTTTCTTAACAAACTAGTTTGTCTAGAGTGAAATCTGACTCTAACTCCCAAACCGGGAACCCAATTTGAGTCGCATCTTCTCCCGCAAGTCTCTTGTGCCTAGGCGGTCGTGTGTGCCAAGTTTCGTGCTACTCCAACGCCGTTTGGTGATTTTGGGTCGTTAATTGTTCGAATTCTAAGTTTCTTAAGAAACTAGTTTGTCTAGAGTAAAATCTGGCTTTAATTCCCAAACTAGGAACCCGATTCAAGTCCTCCTATATGTCTCTCGTGCCTAGGTGGTCATGTGTGCCAAGTTTCGTGCTAATCCGATGTCGTTTGGTGAATTTGGGGTGTCAACACCTCGAATTCTAAGTTTCTTAAGAAACTAATTTGTCTAGAGTGAAATTCGGCTCTAACTCCCAAATCGGGAATCTGATTCGAGTCCCGTCTTCTCCCACAAGTCTCTCATGCCTCGGCGGTCGTGTGTGCCAAGTTTCGTGCTACTCCGACGCTGTTTGGTGATTTTGAGGCGTTAACACCTAGAATTCTAAGTTTATTAAGAAATTAGTTTGTCTAGATTGAAATCCGATCTAACTTCCTAACCGAGAACCCGATTCGAGTCCCGTCTTCTCCCACAAGTCTCTCTTGCCTAAGCGGTCGTATGTGCCAAGTTTTGTGCTAATCCGACGCCGTTTGGTGATTTTGGGGCGTCAGCACCTTCAATTCTAAATTTCTTAAAAAACTAATTTGTTTAGAGTGAAATCCGGCCCTAACTCCCAAACAGGGAATCTGATTCGAGTCCTGTCTTCTCCTACAAGCCTCTCTTGCCTAGGTGGTCGTATGTGCCAAGTTTCGTGCTATGCGGGTGTCATTTAGTGATTTTGGGGCGTTAACAACTCGAATTCTAAGTTTCTTAAGAAACTAGTTTGTCTAGAGTGAAATCCAGCTCTAATTCCCAAATCAAGAACCCGATTTGAGTCTCGTCTTCTCCCACAAGTCTCTCGTGCCTAGGCGGTCGTATGTGTCAAGTTTCGTGGTACTTCGACGTCGTTTGGTGATTTTGGGGTGTTAACTGCTTGAATTCTAAGTTTCTTAAGAAACTAGTTTGTCTAGAGTGAAGTTCGGCTCAACTCCCAAATCGGGAACTTGATTCGAGTCATGTCTTCTCCCACAAGTCTCTCATGCCTAGGCGGTCGTGTGTGTCAAGTTTCATGCTAATCTGACGCCGTTTGGTGATGTTGAAGCGTCAACATCTCGAATTCTAAGTTTCTTAAGAAACTAGTTTGTCTAGAGTGAAATCTGGCTCTAACTCCCAAATCGGGAATTCGATTCAAGTCCCATCTTCTCCCACAAGTCTCTCGTGCCTAAGCGGTCGTGTGTGCCAAGTTTTGTGTTACTCCGACGCCGTTTGGTGATTTTGGGGCGTTAACACGTCGAATTCTAAGTTTCTCAAGAAATTAGTTTGTCTAGAGTGAAATCCGACTCTAACTCCCAAACCGGAAATCCAATTCAAGTCTCGTCTTCTCCCACAAGTCTCTTGTGCCTAGGCAATCGTGTGTGCCAAGTTTTGTGCTAATCCAGCGCCGTTTGGTGATTTTGGGGCGTCAACACCTCGAATTCTAAGTTTCTCAAGAAACTAGTTTGTCTAGAGTGAAATCGGCTCCAACTCCCAAACCGAGAACCTAATTCGAGTCCCGTTACAATTTTCTCTATGAACTCATTTGGGGGAGTAATAATTTTAGAATTTCGTAACTAATAATTTTACTTTGATTTTCATTAAGTGAGCCAAATTTATTTACTTTGAATCTGCTAAAAATGCATTCATCTCCAAACTTCAGAGTTGTTGTGTTGAATTTATGTTATAAGATTGTAATAGAAATATAATTTAGATATTCAGCAAATCTATTCATAGATCAATTGAATTTTGGCATCAACTTTTGAGAGTATTTTTAATTCGCGTATTATATTTTGGTTGCAAATAAATATATCTCATGTAAGAAAACAAAGAAAAACCAATGGATCATAGCTAGTCCTATAACTGGGAGCTGCTTCAGAATTTATGATGCAAGCAATAAAAGAAAATTTTGAAGAACTAAATCTCAAAAGAAAAGGTACCTTTGGTGGTGTAGTATCATTTGAAACACGATTTTCAGGTATGTGGTCACTAACAGATCTATGATGATCGGCTTTGAAGGCTATATCAAGAGATGATATAGTGCTTGAAGGTAAGTTAATCTGCAAGATTTCACAACGAATCAAATAGATGATAAGTGTCTTGTGCAAGGTTTATTCATAGAATTTGCCAACATACCTTAGTAAGAGAAACAGATGGGAATGAAACTCCAATAAAATATTCGAAGACCATTCCCTCAATAGTCATTATTACAAGTCTGGCACTGCCACTTGATTTCTTAGAGACTCCATTGCAAACAAAATAAGAAAACTAATCACAATGGTTTCACATAATAGAAACTGCATTTAGGTACTATAAAGCCTACTTACACAAATTACTAGCAACTCATAAAAAATGAAGCTTGTGAGAATGTATCTGTACAAACATGCGGTGTGTGGTCCCCATCTTGGAAAAGTCACTCAACTTCATAGGTCATGCATTAGGCAAAAATCTACAACTTTTGAAGCTTAAACATAAATACCCAGTTTCAAGAAAGCAGCTGTGGTTTTCCCAAATACTAATTCCTGTTAAACACATCCATGAAATATTCAATATATAATAAACAACAACAACAAGAATCTGAAGCAAAGATGTATATAATCTTAAATCAAGATTTCTGCAATCTTTCTGCCTTGTTTTCTCATTAATTGCCCCGAACTTCACAATGTAGGCAATAAATAACCTAATTAATAAACTCACAAAATAAAATCCTAAAAAAAAAAGAAAAAAAGATTTCCTTTCCTTTTCTGTGTTGGTTACAGCTTTGCAACTTGTCAGCATGACCCAAAAAAATAAAACCCTAAAAGACCTAGCAAAAGCTATTCCCTTTTCTTCTTGTTCTTTTGAAAAATTATAAACCCAGTAAAATTATGCAATTTTAAACCAAGATTCGCATTGCACTGATACTATTCCACTTTATTAAAAAAATTTATTTTACTTAAATACTCTGATCTGTATCGTATAATAACTTCAAAAGATTCAAGTTCTCTTCTCGGGGAAGAAGGGTTCATCAAGACACAACAGTGACAATTGACACCAAAATACAGTATTTTTACATTCATATGTTCAGTATTATAGTGATTTTAAACTGTATAATATTCAATTTAAAAATTTTCATGTACAACAAAAATGAAGGTGAAAAGAAGAAATTCAAAGAGCAAATTAAGCAAACACATATATAAACCATGAAACAAAGGAGAGAGCTTTTACTTGACGGAGTCGAATTTGGAGATTAAGAGCGAATTTGGAGATCACATAGGGTCGTCGACCTAGAGCAGGAGATTTAAGCCTTGAAGATAAAAAAAATAAAATATAAATAAATAAAGTGTGAGAAAGAGAGACAAGAGAGTACATATCAATGTTAGGGTTTACAAGGGCAACAACTTGTTTAGCAAATTCGAGCGTTCTAGAATCCCTGGTTCCTTATATTATAGTGTGCTTCGACATTGATGCTCTGCAGATTTGAGCTTTTGCCGGTGGAGGAGTCGGAATGAGAATGAGATGAGTAGCGCGAAGATGAAGATGGAGAGAGAGAGAGAGAGAGAGATTTGAACGTTAAAATGAGAGAAGACGGAAGAAGAAATTATAGGCGCCAAAGGGTTTAAGGAAATTTGGAAAAATTGGGGATTTTGGACTATTTCTGATTATATATATTGATCACACTTATGGGATTTTATTTATTTTTTTGTAGTTAATGAACTTTTTTTCTTTTGATTTTTGATTTTTGATTTTTGATTACAAAGGTTGAAAATTTATTTGTTTCATTTTTATTTTAATGAAAAAAATTTATTATTATTTTTATTTGGTAGAAGTAGGGGTAATATTTTAATAAAAAATATTTTGTATTAAAATAAAGTTAATTTTTTGTGGTCAATGAAAAATATTTTTCTGCGGTCAATGAAAATATTTTTCTGCGGCCCATTTTTTTTTGTTATTAAAAATCAGGAACTAATTTTTTTGTGATAATGGAGAGAGAGCAGCAATAGTGGTGAAGGTGGTGGTAAAGAAGTGATGGTGGTGGTAGTGGTGGTGGTGGTGGTGGTGGTGATGGCAAAGGAGATTAGTGGTGACGTTGTGGTAGTGGTAGAGGAAATGAAATGACGGTAGTGGATGAAAGACAATGGTAGTAGTAGTGGCAGTAGTGGTGGTGGTGGTAGTAGAGTGGTGATGATGGTGGTAGTAATGGTAGTTGTAGAGGTGGAGTGGCAATAGTGGTAGTAGTGGTAGTAGTGGTGGTAGTGGGATGACATTTACAGTAGTGGTGAAGGTGGTAGAGGAGATGGGTGGTGAGAAAGAGAGATGAGTGAGAGACAAATAGAGACAGAGACAGAATGATGAGCGAGAGAGAGACAAAGTGGTTGCTAAAAGTGCATTTTCTTGTAGTGGATCGATAAATTGAGAGGAAGCACGGTAAATAGAGAAGAGGGGAAGAAAGAGAGTGAGCAAGGCGAACATAGTGAAGGAGAGACAAACAGACAGAGAGAAAAAGATAAGAGTGATAAGTGAGAGAGGGATATAGAGAAAAAGAAAGCGAAATAAGAGATGAGCGACAGATAGACAAAAAAAGAGCGAAAAGAGATGAACGAGAGAGAAAGACATAGAGAGAGAAAGAGAAAAGGAAGATGAGCGAGAGAGATAGAGAGAAGAGAGATGAACGAGACACACACAGAGAGAAGAGAGATGAGCGAGAGACACAGAGAGAAAAAGAGAGAGAGAGAGAGAGAGAGAGAGAAGTGATGGGTAAGAGAATGAAAGTGAAGAAAGAGAGAGAAAGAGAAGAGACAGAGACAGAAACAGAGAGATAAGAAGATGAAAAAATGGATGAAAAGAGAATTGTTATATCAAAAGAGTAAGACGACGTAATTTTTTTTAATTTTTTTTGGGACAAAATAATGCCGTTGCATTTATTCAAACTATTTTGTGACTGTATATATATGAAGTCATTTCAAAGCTACAATATATTTCTTTTTTTACTTTTTTTTTTTTTGCAATGGTGCCAATTACAGTCTCAAAAAACCCACTTTTTTTTTTGCGACTGCAGCTGGTGCCGTCGCAAAAACTCTATTTTTTCGCGACAGCAATCTCTGTTGTCACAAATACTCTTCTTTTTTTGCGACAGCAATTTCTGCCATCGCAAATACTCTCATTTTTTGCGATAGCATTTTCTACTGTCGCAAATTCTCTATTTTTCCGCGATAGCAAATTGTGCCGTCGCAGAAGCTCACCTTTTTCACGATAGTAAGTTGTGCCATCGCAAAAACTCACCTTTTTCGTGACAGCAAGTTGTGCCGTCACAAAAAATCACTTTTTGAGGCGGCAAGTGTGCCGCCGCAAATGCTTCCGTCTTTTAAACCCACTTTTCTTGTAGTGATATTTACATATCCATATTTTTTGTAATAATTTTATCTAAAATAATGAGGAGTGGCTGAGATTGAATTGATGTATGGTAAGAATGGGAATGGATTTGAACAATTCATTTAGACTTCTAAATAAAATTTTAAATAAAAATTCTAAGTATATCTATAGTATTTGGTTAAATTTATTGCAGCTTAAAGGAACTAATAGTGCCTCCATTTTGGGAATAGGTTATTTTACATGGCATTTTAATTTTTTAATTATTTTAGTCTGACTAAAAAAATTATGTTTAAGATGTTAGTTGACTTTTTTCCTTTTTATTTTTATAATTGATTTGATAGTTATGAGAAAAAATTATAATTTAAATTTAATATTTTATCTTATTAATTATTTTAGTTTTGTAATTTTTAATTATAATTTATTTTAATTTTAAATTTTTTTATTATTTTAATTTATAATAAATTGTATCAAATAAATCATTGTGTTTTAAATGAGTGAAAAGACAGGTGTTGTGGTTTGAAGGCGGAGAAAGGAGGTGCATGCGGAGAACAAGTAGAAGTTATTGATGGGTGTTAGAATCAAATTATTTGATGTAATTTTTAATTATAATTTATTTTAATTTTAAATTTTTTTATTATTTTAATTTATAATAAATTGTATCAAATAAATCATTGTGTTTTAAATGAGTGAAAAGACAGGTGTTGTGGTTTGAAGGCGGAGAAAGGAGGTGCATGCGGAGAACAAGTAGAAGTTATTGATGGGTGTTAGGTGTTCTAGGGGTGTTATGATCGATAAAGAAGATGGTTTATAAATTTATATTAAGTGATTAAAAAATATTAAAGTAATTGGCAGAAGAGGTGATTTATAAGTTTATGTTAAGTAATTAAAAAAATATAAAAATATATGAGAAATTATAATTAATGTGAGATATAAACGTGACGCGTTGAGATTAGCCAATAATTTTTTAGAAACAAGTGGGGGCGCTTTTAACGAGGTGGACCGTGGACACTCAGCGACAGGTTTACACTCCTCTAAACGGGGCAAGTTTTCGGATTCTGTTGAATGAAACTTATTTAATAATTTAAAAATATAGATATGTGATATTTTATAATATTGTGATTGGTGAAAAGAATAAATAAGTGAGATATTATATTAGGTGATTTGGGAATATAACAAAATATATTGAATAATGATTGATTAAGAAATAAAAATACGTAATACTTCAAGAACATTAAATAATTTTCCCTACTAAATGAACAATAACAAACACAAAACTTAAAATGTAGTAATACAAAACTCTAAAAATTAGAGTTTTAAGCCCCGTTTGTTTTGGGAGATAGAATGGAGGGGATTGATAGTGAAGGGATTAATAGTGAGGGAATTATTAGTGAGGGGATTGATAGTAAGGGAATTAGTAGTGAGGAATTGTTAAATTATTTTTATATAAAATAATAAAACAAATAAAAAATATAAAAAATTAAAAATTATATTTTAAAAAAAATTTCCCATATATAAAAATAAAAATAAAATAAAAAAATTTCTAATCCCCTTTATAAACTCCAGTAACGTATCAAATAAAAAAATTAAAAAAGAAACCAAAACAACACATCATCATGTAAAATCCATCATTAAAGCTTTATTAAAACTATTAAATTAGAGGTTCCAAACATGAGTAATGCAGACTCTCTAAAATTCCATCAAAAATTTTATTAAATATTTCATATAAATATAAAATTTACATAATATAAATCTAAGTTATTTAATAAAATTTTTACAGGCTTGTTTTGGCAAACGAGCAAAAAGTTAACTTTTAGTTTTTTTAGTTTAAAAAATTAATTTTTTTACTCAAATCACTATCCAAAAAACTAACGTTGCGTTTGTAGAGTTTTGTAAATATGATTTGAGAGTATGAGTTATATTTTGAGATTGTGAGTTGTGAAATTATGATTTGAGTGTAGAAAATTTGTTTAGTTATGGTTTTTTAATAGAGTGTTGAATTGAGTTTTGAATTGAGTGTGAAATTGAGTTTTGAAAATTTGATTTGATATGTGAAGTAAGAAAATTTGTTTGGTTATGAATTTTGGAAAGAGTTTTTAAAACTTAATTCAAATTGTTATAACTCATTACAAAATACATTACTTACACACTATTGAAAATTTTGATCAACACTCATAGCCAAACTCTTTTTAAAATTCAATTAAAAAAATTTATTACTAACAAAAAATAACATTAATCAATTTTTTAATTGAAAATACCATAAATGAAATAATTTTTTTTTTCAAAATAAATATTCAA